TGTTCGTGAACGTGGCGTGTAATAAAATATTTAAAAAAAGTGATTCCGGATGGATTGTACGGAAAATACGCGAAAACCTCCACTTAAGTGCTACTGCTTTAGGTAAAGAAGTGCTAAAATATCTTGGAAAAAACTGTAACCTAGAAGCCATAAGAAGAATTCTCAGAGAAGCAGATTTCCATGGTCGCACAGCTCAAAATAAACCATTTGTCAGTGCCAAAAAACAAAGTGCTAGGCTGAAGTATGCAAATATAAAAGATGAAAGTTTCTGGGGCACCGTATTTTTTGCAGACGAAAGTAAATTCAACCTGTTTAGATCAGATGGAAAGAGTTATGTATGGAGAAAGCCAAATGCTGCATTACAACCGCAAAATTTACGTAGCACTGTAAAGCATGATGAACCACGTGAACGGTATGGGGATGCATATCGTCTTCTGGTGTTGGAAATTAGGATTTCATCAATAGTACTATGGATAAGATTGTAAATTTGGATATTTTAAAATGAAATTTGTTTCAAAGTGCTTCAAAATTAAATATTCGTGAAAAGTTCCGGTACTATCAAGATAATCATCCGAAACACACATCAGGAGTTGTGCAAAGACTGTCCGCACATAGTAAAAACCCCATCGCCGTCTCCAAATTTGAATGTGATTGAGAATCTGTGGTCAGTTTTTTAACAAAAGATTCGACTTTAAAAAGCCCTAGGAACAGAATGGAACAATATTTCTCATGACTACACGAATATTTTGGTCGAATCCATGCCCAAACGTATGAAAGCAGTCATAAACAGCGAGGGGTATCCTGCTAAATATTAATTAATATACAATTTTAGTTTTGTTCTTTAAAAAAAATGAAATTTATTTATTTTTTTGCTACAATTTAACAAACAAACTTCACGTTTTAATTACATAAAATATATATAAACAAATATATTTTAATGTATAAATGAAATGTGTATAAAATACAATAAATTCGTTTTCAAAAATCAGCAAAATATTGTTACGATTTTGCTAAATCAACCTCGATGATTTTCTGAATCCTTCGGGTACGATCTCTGGATTGTTAAGTAAAACTCGCAAACTTAATTTGCAGTTTCTTTCGTTACAAAGAATTTATCTAATGTCCTTTATTTACTAAGTAATTCACCATTCAATTACAATGCACTTTACTATTTACAATCACTATAGGGCTGTCCTTCGGATTTTTCGAATACCAAGTATTTGGCACATCTCCTGGAACACCGCTGATTCAAAGTTTCTTCCCTGATCTGAGTGCAATTCTATAGGCTCACCGTATCTGGTAACCCATCCGCAACTGTTTTTGCTTCTTGGTTTGGGATTGGGTAAACTTCAGGCCATTTACGGAAATAGTCCATAACCACGAGAACGTATTTGTTTCCTTGTTTGCTCATAGGGAATGGACCGCCTACATCCATGGCAACCCGCTCAAATGGTGCCCCTGCGTTATACTGCTTCATCTGCCCATGACTTCGGGACTTTGGGCCTTTAGCTGCTATGTGCTCCGTACAATTAGAAATCCACTCCGCGACCGATTGCCGACAGCCAACCCAATAGAACCGCTGCTTGATCTTTTCCAGCGTTTTTGTAATGCCTAGGTGCCCTCCACTAGGACCGTTATGGAATTCCTTAAGAACATCCGGAATTCTTAACTTCGGAACTACTATTAGCTTCCGGGAACACTGGCCATCTTCATTTTCCCACACTCTATGTAAACAGCCGGATATCAGCTCTAAACTGTTCCATTGTGCCCAGTATGCCTTTGCGATAGGACTTTCCGCAGCCATTTGTTCCTTACTTGGTCGTCTATTTACCTCCAACCCGTGCATTACTAATTCTAAATCTGGGTCTTCCTGCTGGCATTTCCTTAAGTTACTTGCCTCCCACTCCTCTGCTTGCGTAACTTTCATTTGCCGGACGTCTATTATGTCTGCTTTCCCCTCAGCTTTTGAACAACGTTTCCATTCTATACTACATGGTCGACGAGACATAGCGTCAGCATTTCCTTGCGTATTCTTCTTGCGGTGCTCGATTGTGAAGTCATAACTTTGAGAAGTTGATGGTTTATATTTCTCCGCCTTCCGTTTTCGCTGTACCTCCTGTCTGCTGAAACTTGTTTTGCATTCGCGTGCGTAGTGACCAGGCTTTCCACATTTAAAGCATTTCCCCGCGTGAGTCTTGCAACCAGAACGATTCATCTCTTTTAGCGATTTCAGAATTCTCAATATTTCCGTCATCACATCTGGTGTTTCAACCTCGACTTTATTGACTTTGTAAGATGGTCTGCTTATGAGTGCCCCCGTTTCACGTGTTTGTGAATACGCAACAGTTTCTTCGAATGTCAACTTTGGATTCGCATATGCCTCTCACTTGGTGTATACGTCTCTTATTCCGCTGATGAACCTTTGTATCTTCACCCCTTCAAGATGCTCACCCGATGTGTCTCCAATGGCTAAATGAGCCAATCTCTCAACTTCCGAAGCATATTCCTGCAGAGATTCGGTAGATTTTTGGTCGCGCTTTTCTAACTCCATCTGGTAAATCTGTCTTCTGTGTTCGCTACCATAGCATCTTTCCAGGGCTCGCATCAATCCGTCGTAATCATTTCTCTCGTTTACGGATATGGTTTGCAAAAGTTCGGCTGCCGGTCCTTCCAACGCAACGTATAGTGCAGCGGATTTTTCCTCTTTGCTTCAGTTGTTTGTCTCAGCTGTCTTCTCAAATTGGAGCTTAAAGACTTGAAATGGGATTTTCCTGTCAAAAGATGGTGTTTTTACCTTCGGAGCGTTCACTGAAGCGGTTGGACGATTTAGCTGCGATTCCCGGACACGACTTTTCAATGCGTTGACTTCGATCTCAATTAGATCTTGCCTTTCCTTAAGTTCCGCATTGTTCCTCACCAGATTTTGCTGTATTTGCGCTATTGTTCCTTCCAAGGATGATATCTGCTACCTCTGCTCCACCATTTGTGATGTAATGTTGGCATTCTGTGCATCCATCTTTTGTGAGATGCTGGCTCTCATTTCAGACATATTCTGTGCGATGCTGGCGTTTATTTTTGTGCCCTGTGCATCGAACTTTTGTGAGATGCTGGCTTTCATTTCAGACATATTTTGTGCGATGCAGGCATCGAACTTTTGTGAGACTCAAGCGAGGAAATGCTTTAAATGTGGAAAGCCTGGTCACTACGCGAATGCAAAACAAATTTCAGCAGACAGGAGGTACAGCGAAAACGGAAGGAGGAGAAATATAAACCATCAACTTGTCAAAGTTATGACTTCACAATCGAGCACCGCAAGGGTAATACGCAAGGAAATGCTGACGCTAAGGCCCGTCGACCATGTAGTATAGAATGTAAACATTGCTCAAAAGCTGAGGGTAAAGAAGACATAATAGACGTCCAGCTAATGAAAGTTACGCAAGCAGAAGAGTGGGAGGCAAGTAACTTAAGGAAATGTCATCACGAAGATCCAGATCTAGAATTATTAATGCACGGGTTGGAGGTAAATAGACGACCAAATAAGAAACAAATGGCTGCGGAAAGTCCGATCGCGAAGGCATACTGGGCACAATGGAACAGTTTAGAGCTGATATCTGGCTGTTTGCATAGAGTGTGGGAAAATGAAGATGGCCAGTGCTCCCGGAAGCTAATAATAGTTCCGAAGTTAAGAATTCCGGATGTTCTTAAGGAGTTCCATAACGGTCCTAGTGGAGGGCACCTAGGCATTACAAAAACGCTGGAAAAGATCAAGCACCGGTTCTATTGGGTTGGCAGTCGGCAATCGGTCGCGGAGTGGATTGCTAATTGCACGGAGTGCATAGCTGCTAAAGGCCCAAACAAAGAGCTAAGAGAGGTGCATGCTCTTGTGAGGCAGCGAACTCAAATTATGAGTGACAAAATGAAGGCCAGGTATGACAAGGCGGTGAAATCCGAGGGTTTCCAAAATGGAGATTTGGTGTTGCTGTACAATCCACAACGGAAGGGGGGTTCGTCCCCAAAACTTCAATGTAATTGCGAAGGTCCATACAAGATAGTCAAACGACTAAACTCCGTAGTGTATCGAATCCAAACCATTGGGAGTCCTAGAAACAAGATGAAAGTGGTCCACCTTGAGAGGCTTGCTGAGTTTGGAACAGCGAATGCGTCTGATCGGGACGATCAGACTTAGGTGGAGGGCAGTGTTGCGAAAATGCGAGGCGAATGTCAGATAAAAAAGAGAAGCCGATAACTAGTACATTCTAGAAACGATAAAACAAGAACCTTCGATAGCGAACAACTCGATGCTTCGACGCTTTCGTCTGCGAGCAGCCGACTGCTATATAAGGGCGACACTCAGCTGCCAAGTTAAGTTAGTTACAAAATGAACTCGTGGCGTTAACATCAGTAAAATCGTAAAGTAAACACGTTGGAGATTACATTTAAGTAGAGTAAATTGTGAAAGTTGATGATAGTGATTGTAAATAGTAAAGTGCATTGTAACTGAATGGTGAATTACTTACTAAATAAAGGACATTAGATAAATTCTTTGTAAAGAAAGAAACTGCAAATTAAGTTGGCGAGTTTTATTTAACAATCCAGAGATCGTACCCGAAGGATTCAGAAAATCATTGAGGTTGATTTAGCAAAATCGTAACATCGAAAGATTTTTAATCCATTTGTCGTCCTAAGCATCTCGGTTTTATTTTAAACCTTTAATTTATCATAACACAAGTTTATGACCTGTCGAAAAGTCGAGCCTAAAACTCCCGAAAACATAGACCAGCTTTGGAGTTGCACAATCCGCTTCCACAGCAACAGCAACACGATTTCATGATGGCAGTTTGCATTTGGGAAGGTACGAAGTCGTAGTTCCATCTTACCTTTTGCAGACACCAGACAGCTGGGCCTAAAATGTGTTATATTGATTCAATTACGTAAATAAAATGTAAAAACACAAACCGTTTTTAAAATAGACTTTATTTTTACTCATAAATTATACTAAATCTCTTTTAAATGTTTTACATATTTTTTATTTTATTATAAGTTGTCCAGCCTCGTCCTAATATTTCTTGTAATACTATTATTACGAAAGTAGCTGAAATTATGTAGTTCAGTTTATACAAAGCCTCTTGACATAAAATAATGCACCCTGAGGCGCTAATATACAATAATATAGAAACCGCCTTGTATCCAAATTGAAATGAAGGTCTGTAAAGTATGCATTATTATTTATAAAATATATTTAATAATGAGCATTGTTGAAATTACATTTTCTGTGGTGCTTTTAACAGCCATAGCACACTTAGTGAGAGAATAACGATCAAAGAAGGGAATAGAGATGGGTCGCCTCCTCGCATCACAATGCTGTAAAATTTATTTTAATAATGTTTATAATAAAATTTTTTTATGAGTCAAGTACCAGTTTAGAATAATTTTTCCATAATTTTTAAATTTAATCAGATAACTACGAAAATGAGCGAAAACTTATAGTTCAAGAATTCTGTATTCCTGAATAAAAAAAAACGAAACTTCTGCAATTATGCTTACTGATAAAGCTACCTCAGTCAATTAATAAAGTCGAGGAACTGGTATGAAACTAAGGTGGACTTGCTTCATGTCTATGACAGTGTACTTGAGATAAAAATTGTCCTAAGAATGCATGGAAATTTTTTCTAATATTTTATAAATGTGCTTGAGATAAACTACTCTTTTTAGATGGCTTTCATTCAGAATAAGGAAAATACACGTAAACCAAAAAATTTTTGGTTCTCTGTTCTCCTACGATTAACTTGGTCTCCGAAAGAATCTCGACTTAAAGTAGATTACCGCTCATTATTCTTCCTGATTTTCTACCGTCGTGGATGTTAGTTACAGATCCAAATTTAGACGTATCATAGATATCAGTATCAATATTTTGCTTAAGTATGGAATACATCAGTTACATCAAAGAATATAACAAAGCATTACCTGTGGTCCTTAATCCAAGCCACACCGCTCATAGAATTCAAAGCCGTTATAATGAGCAGCAGTATAAATAAAGATATGTGAAATGAAAAATTATTCATTCCATTGCAGCTGATTGAATTCACATTTTTGCTCGTTTCTGCTGTTTCCTTAAAACTTTGATTGTAATAGAAGCTCCGCAATTTTGTGTGCAATGTTACTGCTGTATTCAATATCCAATTTTCGACATAGTCACTGTAGGCATTTGAAATCTAAAAATATATTTCCGAAATTCTCTTTTGTTACTATTTTTGGCATAATTACAATTAATATTAAGAAGTTACCAACAATAAATATAGAATGCACGTTACAACCAGTGCCAACTCTCCGCATGTTTTTAATGCCAAGGAAATAATGAATGCACCAAATAATAATGGAAAGGTACCTGCCACAGGTAAAAGTACTGATCTGAATAAGCACCTGTAAATATTTGCATTCATTTAAATATGAAATCATAAATGCGAGGAAAGTACTCTTTCTCTTACCAATTGATTACTTTTGAAAATCCGTATGCATTAAAAATTATCAAAATCCAAACTGCAAAAACAGTAACAATTGATATAACAATAGCCGTGCTGTGTATAATTGCAACCAAATATATTGATAATCCACGAAGATCGTCATGGTTTTCATTTTTGATCACCAATTTGCTAAAAATACGACAACCTGTATAAGATGCATGTAAGCATAAAATTAAAAAAGAAATGGCAAAATCAAAGAAATGTAGATCATAGCCGTACTTTCACTTACCAGTAATAAGGTATATGGACGAAAATTGGAAGTACCCATGAAATGGTCTAATTCCTTTTGTACTTGATTCATGATGAAGTTTCGATATTTTATTCTTCAATATGATCAATATAACCGCTGTCAAATGAGATGGTAACCACTGATAAAAGTGGTGAACGATTCTTGACATTGTACCCTCAATGGAAAATTTATAACTTAAAATAAATAAAGTTTGAAATATCAAATGTATAATTTTATTTTGTTACATATAATTTTTTCGAATGGACTTCATTACCTTATATGATATCGGCAGGCAGGATCCAAATAAACTTCTAAAGAGATCGGATTTTTCGTTAAATTATAACCTCTCGGACTTGCAACAGGAATGTTGACATAAAATACTTCAGCTGATGGATCCCTGTTTTGAAAATACTAAAGTGAAATTTCGGACAAACAAATAACTTTGAGTTCAATGAAACACATACCGAATAATGTGATATTTAGTAAATCCAGGCAGCCAAGGGGTGCACATTTTAATTACAACTGGATTTGAGTCCCCCAAACAAGATAAAGGTTCAAATTTCAATTCCATAGTCGAATATGTTTCTTCAAGACCTGAGCAATTTTAATAAGTTTTTTTTGTGTTTTATACAAAACTTGTTTCAAATTCCATAAGAGGCAAGCGTATAAGTACGCGTTAAAGAAATTTTATAAAATATACAAACTGTAATTACGCTAAGCATTTACCTTGTATTAAAAGTTTATAATACACTGTTCCCTGTGAGGTTTCTTTTACTAAAGTTGTCTTTTGAAGTGTGGACCAGTGTGGTAATTTAAAGTAAACTTGTCGCTCGGTGGGATTATGTATATCTATGTTGAATGACTTCTGTAATATTTTAAAAATAGTTTAAATTAATATTCAACCAACTCCGGATTAATTAATTAATTTAATCAGTTCTTACCGGTTTTCGGGAGGCGCGAAGAAATATACCTATATGAGTCCAATTCGGAAATGTGTTTCTCAAATTTTTTATATCAAGTATTGCCACAGTACGTATTTCATTGTTAATCCATGGTAGTGTGTAAAAATTATGAGAAAGTGAAACCTTGGTTTTGCTAAAATCATATATAGTTTATTTACGATATAAATAAAAAAATTGTCACTTACCAGTGCAAGTTTTCATCCACATTATGTTTTACCGAACAACCAAAAATGAAGTCACTAAGATCCAACCGGTTAATATCAATACATAATTTCTATAAGTAAAAAAACAAAACTTATATGTGCGCAAAAGTAAAGAAGAGTAAAATCTTCAATTGTGTAAAACAACCAATATACGTATGTATTTATGTGCATATTTAAGAGTTAGTTCAGTCGTTAATTAACAAATTTTCTATAAATTTGCTTCATACAAAGGTCTTTTGCCCCTCCCAATGATGGCAAAGTTTTAAAATATATATGGCGCCAAAGTAATATATATATTTTTCAAAAAATCCGAAACAAAAGACAGGTTATTTTATATATACATATACGTATGTATATAGCGTACTAGAAGTGTAAATCATGCGAAAGTAAAAGCATTCATTAGCGATAATATAGGGAAAAAATATTTAATTGCAAATATAAACTAACTTACACTTGTCTAACCTTACACATTCAGTGCGTAGTTGCAGAATGACGTTAAGTACAATTTTACTTAAAATTGTGACCGATCAGTCTTGCTCTCAAATGGTCTCCAACTTTCCGTTCAACATATAATACATAAAAGAAAATGTTTCAAAATAAATCAATTTCCTATGAAGTAAATATACTAGTTTTATAATTCCAATTCCTAACATATATTCTTTATATTAGGGACTATGTTTGGCTTTTAATCTTACGTTGCTACCATGCTTATCGTGATTTTCGTAAATTTATAACGACCTCCCCGATAAATGAGAAATTACTTATATATAGTCATTCTGGGAATATTTTATGTCATAATGCAATATCTTGCCTCACCAACATGAAAGCAAATGCTAAAAAAAATTAGGAATAATTATATTTAAAGCAAAAAAAAAATAAAATTCTGAAGTATATAAATGAATCATTTGAATAATAATAATTGAATAATACTCCTCACCTGATGCGTAAGGTGCTTTCTCAGCGGAATCATTTGGATAAAGTTATTTTTGACACCTTCTTTGAATCCTTTTGAAAATACTCTTCGCTTATCTTCACGCCACATAGCTTGCTGCTCAACGTTAATTTCTTTTGGTGCCAATATATTTGGTTTCTAAAAATTAAATATTTTAAGTAAAAGCTTTTTATTTAAAACGTTATTTTACCAACCACAAAGTAATTGTGGGCAATTTTTTCTCTAATTGCTCTGTCATTAATGAAATAAACGATTTTGTTTTTGTCGATTTTTGAAATTTCAAACAAATATCTATTAATAACAAGTACAAGCTGAAGACACCAAACTGCCGATAAGTGGTCACAGCTTATCCAGACCTTAGGTATGGACATCGTCTGGAAAAGAAAAAGCATTTAGTTTTTAAACGGGTTTAAGAAAATTTAGGAGAAACGAATATTTACCATGGAATGTATATCACTAAATTTGGAAAACGTATAACCAGGTTGTACAAGTAAGTCGCGATTTCCTCCACCAATAGAGATAATCATAACATTTTTTAAATACGATTTGTAATAATTAGTATAGTTGCCAAGTAAAAACCGAGTGCGGGAAGAGGAACAAACATTAAAATTTTCGTCTGGCTTGAAAGAGGAGCGCGTCCTGGATAGTGATTTGTTTATGCTTTTGTAAAACATTTCTATCTTTTCATCAAGTATTAATATAGGTTTATTTATAGGAGAAGACAGAGATATTAATGTGTTGACGTGTTTTGAAATTTCAGGATCTCTTAAAATTGCTTGAGATATTACAGCACCCATTGAATGGCCAATTAAAGCAATCTTTTTATCATTTGCATAAAGCTTTAAAATAGTTTCTATGCAATTCTTTAAATATAATGTTTGCCTCTCCAAGTAGTGGCCATACAACGCCGAAAGCTCTTCGCTGAAGTCAACTAAAAAAAAAAATTAATTAATAAAAATTATATCCAAATAAATAAAACATTTTTACAAAAGTATGCGTATAAAACATTACTTGTATAATAATCCAAATGAACCCCACTTTCAACTTCTCTGGCTTTTCGTAACGCAACCGATGCCAGAGATCGTACCTGGGTTAGAAAATAGTTTATTAAACCACAAGTGAAATTTTCAATTGAGGATATCTAGACGTACTTGCTTATAAGAGCCTCCATTTCCTGGGATAAAAATTACCGGTGCACCATTCAATTTTTTTTTACCTACGTCAATTGGTATTCGTCCTTCATTGTAGTAATACAAACCGTAATCCGGAAATTTTACATCGTCGGTGGAGTGTACCCTCTGAAATATACACAAATTTCATTACGTATGTACATGTATGTATGATGCACACCACGACTAGGATCAGGAGCTCTGCGAAAAATCGCTTCATCGGTTCCAAATCGCAAATTATATATGTACGTAGGTATGTATATTTTGACTGGCGTTATTATCTTTTCATGTTTTCAGTAAGATGTCGAAAAACTTTGATATAAAATAACAAATAACATTCATTAAACTATAGTTAAAACTTAATTTGAAAGAAATCCTTTGAGCAAGTGAGTATTTCTAATCATTGTCAAAAACTGTTTATTTATTGGTAACAATAAAGTGAGCAACAAAAACATAACCACTTACATACATTGATGAACTAAAGTATTGGAACAGCAAAATATTTCAATTTTAACACCGTTTTTTACCACTTATGAAAAAAAGATTAATTCTTAAAATTGATTAAAAATAATTATAAATGAAAAAAAAGGCATGATTTCACCAAACAAAAGTATTGGCGCACTAAAACTTTATTGGTCTATTTCGCTCTAGCAATTTTTTTTCCAAAGTCCCATTATGTCTACCCAAGGGATTGCGATGTTGTCAAAAGAAAAACCGCAAACATCTTAGTGTATTCAATGAAGAGTTGGGAAAGCATTATTCATCTGATAACGGCCTCATTTCAAAAGAGAACCAAAAGAAACGTTTAGCCTATGCTAAGGATTATCTAAGCAAACCAAGTGACTTTTTGGACAATTTGCTTCTCGAATGAAAGTAAATTTAATATATTTCAATCTAAACTTCAAAAATAGAACCTTGGTAGAGGAATCATTATATAGGACTGTATGTCCGTCGCTGTGGGCGAGGGATTTAATTGAAGTCATTATAGACAATAAATAATCTATGAAAATTCTGCAGAGAAATGTAGGAAAAAGTGCGGAAAATATTAAATTGACCGAGTCATTTACATTTGAACACGACAATGACCCGAATCATACCGCCAATGATGTCCGTATGTGACTTACACTCGCTTGATCTTAACCCAATCGAACATTTGTTGGAAGAGCTAAATAGACGCGTTAAAAAGCGCGCTGTATTCTGGAGTAAGAATGACAGAATATTGGGTCAAAATCCACACAAAAATTGGTCTCATCCATGCAGAAGCAAAAAAAAGAAAGAAAGGCTTGGTACAAAAAATAATTTTTGTGTATATTTTACTATTTTATTATTATTATTTTTTTGTTTTAATTAAGTGTTCCAATACTTTTGTTTAGTGAAAATGAGTATTTATTTTTTATTTATAGTTAATATTAAATAATTAAAGACAAAAGATAATAAAAATTTATCGAAGTGAAAATATTTGAAAATTTGTCTATTTTTTTATTTTTTTCATAAGTGGTCGAAAAACCTTGTTAAAGTTGAGGGAAAATTTTATTTCTGAGCCCCAGGATGGAAAGAGGAAAAGGCCTAGATTCTAAAACTAGTTTTCTTTTTTCTAGCTGACTTATAGTTTTTGAATAATTCTATTTAAAAATTTGCATACAAAATGTAAAATTACTTCTACATTGGTGTTACCAGATGACTGAACAAAATAATAATTTAGTGTAGAGCTTGTGTAGTGAGCATAAGATACAAATGCTTAAATACTGTTACGATTTTGCTAAATCAACCTCGCAGTTTCGCAACAATACATTTAAAATACTTGGCTCGGCAGTCGTTGCAGTAAAATAATATACAAATTTTGTGTAAACTATTACGTAAAAATAAATGTTATTTTTGGACACCGGCTTCGCCTTGCACAGTATTCTTACTGTGAAACTCATTTGTAAGTTGGATTCCTGAGGAAATCGCTTCAGCGTTTACAAATTGTTAAAATATTGGAAAAAGTAATCTCTCTCATCATTCCCACAATGTTTCATTTCGAGTTTCCCTGCGGTTTGCTTGTAATAACTGCGGCTGAAAACTGAAGCTCAGCCAAATTTGAAATCCCTTACTGTGCTAATACTTTAATTCGTCACTGTACATGTAATCAAATTTGTTTGTTTACATTTTCTAAGAAATACCTCTTTAAACAATTGGTTTTAGTTGGTCTGTTCTTATTGATAAGATATAACTGATCTTTAAGAACCTGTTGCTTAATCCAAAAACGTGAATCTTTATCAAATTACCAAAATTTATAGAGGTAAGCATGAGAGTTAGGTAAACGTAACTTCAATTGCTGCAGGCCGAAATACTTACCGAAAACTGAGGTGGTGCAAACATATATGTCATTTGGCAAGCATTGGACTCAACTTCCAAATTAATATTGTAAACTCCATATAGAAAACCGACAGCAGAAATTGCGATAGCAACCACAAAAAAATGATTTAACATTTCTTCACCTAATTTCATTCAAACATTTTTAATCATTATTTAATAATAGAGAAAAACGATACATTTGTGTAATTTATCGATAATGATTTTGATATAAAAACAATAGGTAGCTAATACGGCTTTTCCACCGCATAGTGAATTATACGGCATTTCCACGACAGCCCAATTACGTTTTTCGCTCTCTCCATTACGAATGCGAATTGCCCCCTTTCACACGGAGAGAAGTTTGACAGTTCCCGGTTTCGCATGTTTGTTCCATTTGAAGACGTATGGAAAATCAATGATTTATTACCCACTTTTACTGTAATTCGCTCGCGAAAATTTGTCTGGCGAATAGCCTCATTCAAACGGCACGCAATTTGACAGTGTTCCGTTTCGCTGACTAATTTTTTTTGTTCCATTTGAAAGCGCAGGGTAAATGAAAGTTTTCAGTGCAAGTAAATAAAATATTCCATTGAATTAATGTCCGAATGGGCATTCATTTACATATAATTTTAATATCCGCCTAGATATTATAACTTCTTTAGTCATATCTGATATGTTGATTTTCTATGAAGAAAAAATTTTTGGTTTTAAATAAAAATTCCATGGTGTTTTTTTTATAGGTTTTTATCTTTTCCGTTTTGTTTTGTAAGCTGATTTTGATGAATATCCAACAAGAAGTAGAGAAGGCCACGATATGGTTGTAATTCGCATTATAAATGAGTATTAAGTAATTCGGTATGTATTTGGAGTGACAATTACGATACGTATATGGAACATCTTGGAAATGACGAATAAAAATGTTTGAAAAAGAGGATGCCGATAACTAAAGCCCATTCTAGAGCGCAAGAAATGAATATTCGGTATAACGTAAGAGCACCTAGAGAGATATAGAACTGAGTACGAACAATAAACAACATTTTCGCTGTAATGTATCTTGTTAATAATATAAATTATCCATTAGGATATTTATTTTAAGCAAACACCATTCTCTTTTGAGTTCATTTCACAACTGACTCCGTGATGTCTGTGCCCGTTCTTAGATACTCACCTATTTCTCGCATACAAATTATAAAAATCTTGTAGGCTTTATGCGGCTGCCTCGATAACGAACATTCGATTCATAGAATAGCTCTATAGATTATGTTGTAATTATCGGTATCTAACTTTAACAGGTCTATTCTGTCGTGGTAACAAAATTTACCTAGGTATTAAAATTTATCATTCAGTAAATTTTTTTGTAACAAAATTTACCTAGGTATTAAAATTAGGTTCAAATATTTATGATTTAATAAACAAATTAATAAAACCTTTTATTTTTTTGTGCACCGTCCTCCATTTCGATGTGAATATTTTTGATTTTACTTTATCAACTGGCAAATGTAATTTGACATGGACGAAAAAAGCAGTGCTGGCAAATTTTTTTCAAACATTGTTACCAGTTCGCCAGAATACCAAATTCAATTTCGGGTGTTAAAGAAAAGTAACAAAATTTACTTTACCGGTAACAATGAGAATGACCTGTAAATGAAAGCTGTGTTTTCACAAAAAAAAATGGTTAAGCTGAAGTTTTACAAATTTGTTTTACAATACAAATAAGTAATTTGAAAAGCTCTCCCTCTCCACAGTTGATAACCGATTGGTTCATTATATCAATGAAGTTACCACTAGCAAACTTTCGCACTAATAAGAGTCTAAGGGAAAAGGTGACTGAAAATGGTCAAGATTCAGGACTAACAGTCTAGATGTTGATCAAGTGACATGGCGAGCTTGATAATTCGAAATGATTCTCAACTTTTCCTTACGTTGTTTTTGATACTAACTAAAGGGCGAACAGTGCGGTAATATGCGAAATATTTTCTCCATTTCTTTTTTTTATTATATTCTGAAAATCTTATCTTATCTTAGAATTTGATTTTAGCATTTATAAGTTAATTTAATAAATAAACTCGGCTCATGCTTGGTGCTACCAATATCCATAAGTTGTGGAAAGTTATTTTGAATAAAAAAATTAAGTAAAATTGTCTAATTTCAGGCGTTCGGAGGCGGCTGAGTATAAATTGTAGATACCTCCATTTGTAGGAAAAACATCAAGACACAAAATCAGTGGTTACAATGCCCCAACTATAAATATATTTAATTAAACTTAATATAGTTAGATCTGCTTACTTCAATGTGAGTGCGTTATTCATATTCTTCTTCTTCCTATGCGTGGGCACTGCCTACGCGATTATAGCACGCTCAACAAAAGCGGTTCTTCTCTACGGTTTTGGCGCCAGTTGAGAATACCAAGTGAGACCAACTCGCTCTCCACCTGATTCTTCCACCGTAGTGGAGGTCTATTCCACTTTCACCGTTTCCACCGGCCGTTACTGAAGCGCTTTTATTCATTCGGACGACATGGTCTTCATTTGCTGAACTATGTATATTAATGTCATCGTATAACTCGTACAGCTCATCATTTAAAGCCTAAGGCCCGTTTTCACAATGTGTGATTGACTTAATCTTTAACCGGAGGATAGCTAACCGTCAGATAGACTGATGTGACATTTTCGTTTTCACCAAGTTCTGGTTACTTAACTTATGGTTAGTTTGATCTCTGTAATCTGATATTTCCATACAATTTAGTTTTCTGTTTCCTTTTTTTAAATTTTTTTTTTTGCATAATAAATGTTAATTTTAATGAAGTTCATTTGATAAGTTTTTTATTGGGAAAGAGACTTTGATGATTTTAAATTAAAGGTACAGAATAAAAAATGAAAAAAAACAGTAATAGTTATAAATGAAATTATGGATTTTATACAAATAACCCACCCTACCAACATAATCTCTGGCCAGATCTTACAATAGCCTTTGTTTGCACCTCAGCTATGCTTGCGTCGGCATCAACAAGTGCTTCTGCTGCTTCATGAACTTGAACTTCTACTTCATCAAGAATGATTGCTCAAGCTGCTACAGCAGTGGATACTATTTACCACCCGACTAGCAGTCGCCACTTTTATTGCGCCAAACCAGTAAAAGAAAATAAAAAATTTCCCGATGCATGAAAGTGTAATGCTAAGAGAAAAATTTTCGCTCCTTTATTTCTGCAAAATCGAATAAATTATCAATAATATCCATTTACTCAAAACACAATCTTCACAAACCTTTCAGTGCGGTTTCCCTATAAATATGCTTCTGAACCAATGAATCCAGACAGGCAACGCATTCCATATATTTCATAATAAAATTTATTTTAAAGCCAACACCGGAAATATTTTATTTGTTATTTTATTATTTTCAGCTGTCAAATCATCTTCTGGTTAAGAGCTAATCGCCACTCAATGTTGGCTTTAGTTAAGCGCAACTTAATTGACAGATGCGGCTTAACCGGACATTGTGAAAACGAATTTTATTCTACCTTCCGATTAAGTTATGATTAAGTACTTAACCTGAGATGGTCAAAACGGCTCTAAATATCAATGCTATTGACATAAGCTAGTTGTTGTACAATCTTGTAAAAGATGCTGCTCGTATTATTTTATGCCGTATCCTGTCTGAAACCTCATATGGCATCGAAATGCTCGAAGAGGTCCTTCCCAATTCTGGCTACGCTTCTGGTGTTGTCAATTTATACAACTTAATCTGTTTTGCAGGAATATCAAATTCCGACAGGGCCGCGTTGAAGCAACTCCTTACTTAAGGCAGAGTTAAAATCGATATGAAGGTAAAGTGCATCGATTCTTTTCTCCAGGGTATTATCCAAGATTTGTGGCATGATGAATATCTGGTCAATGGTGGATTTCCCATGAAAGGTTAATTAGTAGGCAAATCTAATGGAAATCGACACATACCATCTAATGGGACTTAGGTTTTAATCGTCGGTAATGATTTCGTTCGACCACATTCAGCAAATAAGCTGTTGAAGTTTGTTAGTTCTTCATCGTCATGTTTAAATAGCTCAGCCGGTGAGCCATCGGCTTCAGCCGCTTTGTTGTTCTTTACACAGGTAAACCCTATTCGAAACTCGTCAGTGTTGGATAATTGAAAGTCCTTTCCATCATCATCGCTTGAGGTTTCGGCTTTCGGCCATTCAGTAGTCTGAAGAAGTGTTCCTTTAATACACCAAGTATGCTCTGATCATCGTATTTTCCTACATTTGATATGGTCAATCATGAGTTATTAAGCTGTAAGTTGAAAGCGTACGTTGGTTTTAGTTGTAGTGCTTTAAAACTTGTGAAAAGCTACCTTTTTTGACAGGTTTCAGTTTGTAAAAATTGGGGAAGACACATCGCAACTCAAGCCAGTTACTTCAGGGGTGCCTCAAGGCTCCATCCTTGGTCCCCTGCTTTTCAGCATATTTATTAATGACATCTTCAATGTGTGCAAATTTTCAAACCTGCATGGTTATGCTGATGACATTCAGTTATATTTATCTACACCTTTTGATCAAGCTAAAGAGTTATGTAAAAGCATTAATACTGACTTAGCTGATATCTCTAGCTGGGCGGCTGCCAGCGGTCTAATTTTAAATAAAAACAAGTGCTGTGTGCTGCCAATCACTGCTAGAAAACTGACAAATCTGGATTTTTTGCCCCCAATATTCAAAGACAATTGTCCCTTAAAATTAGTCAGCAAGATTAAAAACTTAGGATACATTATTAACTCTAATCTTACATGCACGGATCAGTAAGGTCTATCCCATTCTGAGGAATCTTAGGCAGTCAGCTATCTATGCACCCACTGCTACCAGACGCCGACTTGCTATACAAATTATTCTTCCGGTCATCATGTACTCTGAAGTCGTATACAGCAAACATGACAGTTTTTCTGCTCGTAAAATCGACGTTAGGTTTAATAATGTCACACGGTACGTGTTTGGCCTTTCCAAATATGAGCACATCTCGTCTTGGAAAGATCAGATATTAGGATGTACGATTGCGGACTATCATAAAGCCAGAAATTGTATTTTTCTTTGCAAACTCATTATGACTCAATCTCCTAGTTATCTTTTTTCCAAGTTATCGTTTACTCGATCAGCCAGAGTACGTAATATTATAATACCTTTTCATAAATCACAGCAGTCATCAAGGCTGTTCTTTGTCAATGCTAAACGATTATGGAACTCTCTTCCTGCTAATTTAAGGAGGAAATTAAACAGAAGCAATTTCAAGAACCACATATATATGCATTTTAAAGGCCAAATTTCAAACATAGACTGACCATTTAATAATTGTTTAAGCTTTAGTCATACTCAGCTCATTATATATTATTATTATTTTTGTTAATGTATCTGTAAAGTAATATTTACTTATTCTTCACACTATCTCTGTTTTACTAAAAAAGATATGGAAATCTTATTGTACTAATGCTTTGTTATTATTATTAAATAAATAAATAAATAAGTATCGACAAAATATTGTTAGTTATTTCATTAAGGTTTAAATAAAGCGAAGTAAACCAGGAAATTAGCTAAATTATATAAAAATCAAAATAAAATTATAAAAAATGGCTTTAAGCATTTGGCATACGTTTTATCACAATATGAGGGGTTATTGTACCCTTCATCATTGGATAGAAGTTTGCTTCCGGAAGTTGAAGATCGTTTCCACTTGAATACAACTGAGTTTTTTGATAGCCAACTAAAAGGCAGAAAATAACAATATTATCTACTTAAAAACAAAACTTTTAAATATTTCAGCTTGTACACTATTAAAATATTTGAAGGTTCTGGTGATTCTTTGCAACTGCATGCTATCAACGTCTCGTCAGAGAGCTATTGGAAATAGCGATGAGTCAGTTGTTAGTAAGCCATTGTATTCATCGCGGGCCAGAAGCAGTCAACCGTTGAATGTTTCCAGGGGCTATCGGTTACGATGTTTTGTTAAGCTGTGGTACCATATGTCCTTCATTTTGATAAAATGGAAATGTGCGTTGTTGATTATCGTAAAAACTGAGTTAGAGAACGACAATGGGAAGCTTTAAATTGTGCTAGTGAAAAACTGTTAATTATGTCTATTATTTGGTAAGTACATCCATGGATCCATATGTAAATAGTAATTTCGAATTTTTATTGTGCTTTCGGACTTAAAAATGCCATTCAGAATGAGTGCCACGGTTAAAAACTCAAACTGCTCTTTCTTATATGTATGCATTATATGTATATGTATCAGGGAAGTGCACCGGTGACTGTTTTCAGCACTACTACCCTGCAAAAAATTTCGTATTATATGGTCCACTGGAGTAATTCAAAAACTACATCTTGCCATCAACTATTGGATCAACTTTCTTTTCGTTGGTGAGCTCTAATCGTACATACAACAGAGTAGGGTAGGGTGTTGTCAAGATTCTGGGTATGTAGTTACAGTCGCGGGGCTATGCTCAATTCCTACTTTTGCGTCCATGTCGCTCACCCAGGAAACATGAGCAACCCTTGTACTAGATGTGGTAATCACCCGTGATGAGAGGAAGCTATAGTGGAGCCAGTCGGACTTATTCTGTTTAAAAAAAAAACCACGGCAAATGTTTTAAGGATCACCTGGAATGTCCAGTCCTGAATAGGGAAGGTGCCACTGCCCAGCTGTTGATATTCGCAATAAAGCAAAATTTTTCAACATATCGTTTATCGCGCCCACGCCCTGAGGGATGAGAAAGACGACTTGGCTATTCAGTGCCCGGGTTGGCAGAGAAGGTATCTCTGGTATAACTGTCGGAAAATTCAGCCTCCACGACGAAATATCCCCTAATGCGTTGAGGCCGATCGATTTCACCGTTGCCATCAACCTACATGGCTGTCCCCTGATCGAAAAACACAAACCAGATCGATCACGTGTCACCAGTGCTTTTGACGTGCGTGCACTCCTAGGACCCAACATCAACTCGGACCACATTTGTGTAGAAGCGATAATAAACTTTGTTGTAACAGAAAAGAAAGAGACTTATTATTTTGGCCACCCTGGGTACACCGAGCTTACCCCAGCCAAGGAACTTCGTTACAACGGATATGGTGAACCCGAAGTCCTAATCGAAATATACTTTGGGGAATATTTTTGCAGTTACTTACTTAAGTTACTGGCGCAGACACCGCTGATGATGTGACGTGATTATAACCGATTTAACAACATTGTGCCATTCGTTTCTTCTTTTGGCTGTTTGGCGCCAATCGAAATACCAAGTACAGCCAGGTCCTTCTCTACTTGGTCTTCCAACGGAGTGGAGGTTTTGCTCTTCCTCTGCTTCCACCGGCGGGTACTGCAACGAAAACTTTCAAAGCTGGAGTGTTAGCATCCATCCGGACCACATGACCTAGTCAGCGTAGCCGCTGCTTCCTGATTCGCTGAACTATATCAATGTCGCCGTATAACTCGTACAGCTCATCGTTCCATCGTCTGCAATATTCGCCGTTGCCAAAGCGCAAAGGACCATAAATCTTACGCAAAACCTTTCTCTCGAAAGCTTCCAACGCCGACTCAACCGATGTTGTCATCGTCCATGTAGAGTTTGGTTATCGTTCGCCGAGAGAGGACTTTACTTTTCAATTGCCTACTCAGTCCAAAGTAGCACCTGTTGGCAAGAGTGATTCTACGTTGAATTTCAAGGCTGACATTATTGTTGGTGTTGATGCTGGTTCCTAGATAGACGAAATTATCTACGACTTCAAAATTGTGACTGTCAACAGTGACGTGGGAGCGAAGTCGCGAAAGCGATGACTGTTTGTTTGATGACAGGAGATATTTCGTTCTGTCCTCGTTCACTACCAGACCCACTCGCCTCGCTTCTTTATCAAACCTGGAGAAAGTAGAACTAACGGCGCGGTTGTTGAGGCCGATAATGTCAATATCATCGGCGTACGACAGTTGTTGTACACTCTTACAGAAGTTAGTACCTTCTCTATTCAGCTCTTATTATTTTCTCCAGCATCAAATTGAAGAAATCACACGACAAGGAGTCACCTTGTCTGAAACCTCGTTTGGTATCGAACGGCTCAGAGAGATCCTTCCCAATTCTGACTGCGCTTCTGGTGTTGTCTAGCGTCAGCTTACACAGCCGTATAAGTTTTGCGGGGAAGAGGTGGTACGTGTCGATCCTCTTTTCACGGGTCTTTTCCAAGATTTGGCGCATGGTGAATATCTGGTCAATGCAACCAGACTGACCAGGTCTGAAGCCACACTGATAAGGTCCAATCAGTTTGTTGACGGTGGGCTTCAGTCTCTCACAAAATACGCTCGACAGGACTTTATAGGCGATACTAAGAAGGCTTATTCCACGGTAATTGGCACAGACGGTGGGGCCCCCTTTTTTATGTATTGGTCAGAGAACTCTTAAATTCTATGTTTGAATAGTTCTTTTTGTAAGCGGGCGATTGCTATTCGAACTTTTCCATGGTCAGGTAATGGAACGTCTTTCCCATCGTCAACGATTGGGGTTTCGGGCTCACCATCTCCGGATTCTCCTTTTTCACTACTATTCACCAGGTTGGAGAAGTGTTCCCTGCATAAATTCAATATACTCTGGGCATCGGTGGTTAGATCACTTCTTTGTGTCCTACAAGAGTCTGCTCTGGTCTTGAAACCTTCCGTAAGTCGTCGTATCTTCTCGTAGAATATTCGAGCGTTAACCTTACCCGCCAGCTTCTCAAGCTCTTATAGTCACGCATCTCGGCCTTTTTCTTTTTTTGTCTGCAGATGCGTCTTGCTTCTTTCTTCATCTTTCGGTATCTATACCATCCCGCCCGTGTTGTGGTCGATCGCGAGGTTGCGAGATAGGCAGTATATTTTCTCTCCACCGCGACACGGCATTCCTCATCGTACCAGCTGTTTTTGCGACCTTTCCGCAATCCAATAGTTTCCGTTGCTGCTATACGTGGGGAGCTTAAAATGCCGTCTTACAGGTCCCGTATACCGAGTTGCTGATGAGTGTTCTCAGAGAGTAGCTGTGCAAGTTGAGTAGAAAACCTCTCGCAGTTTGCAACAAGATAGTGATCCGAGTCGATGTTGGGTCTTCGGAGTAAACGCACTTCAAGAACACTGGATACATGCCTTCCGTCAATCACAACATTATCGATCTGGTATTGTGTTTATCGATCAGAGGACAGCCAACCCGTTAGGAGATGTGAAGGCTGAAAAATATAACAACGCCTAGGATTTTTGAAGTTACAACAACAAAAACAGGAATTTAAGAGCTAAAACAACAACAATAACATTGGAATTTAAGTGCGCTCTGCTCAATCCGAAAATAGGGCGATTATACAGTCTGCGCCACTTACCGGTGGATAAGTTACCCGGTAAGGCATGCCTGCCGTGCTATATGAAAGACTAAAGCCCACCGTCAACAAATTGATTGGACAAAAACTTTGAAAAGAGGATCGACACACACCACCTCTTCGTCGATTTTTAAGCCTCCTTCGACAGCACGAATAAGAGCTGCTTCTAGGACATTTATCTGAACTTGGTATCCCCGCAAAACTTATACTGCGAATGTCAGTGTTCGTATATACTTCTTAATATAAACCACTTCAGATACCTCGTGCAGTAGGAGGGAGTATATGGCCCATCTCTAGGACATCGTAATGTAAATTTTACCATGTTTTTTGAATGGATTGTGCTAGTTTTGGAATACACCACTGTCCACGTGGAGTATATACTTCACGCGTGTAACGAGTAGTCGCGTCGCTTGCAGGGGTGTGTAGTACTAAACCACCACGAATGCTGTGGTTGTATTTTGACAGTGGATTCAATGTGAATGCAACAGGTGTATAAATGCACCAACGAACAATTTGTTATTCAAACTTGAATGAAATAAAATTCAAAATCGAAACAAGAAATCCATCCAAATATAAAAAATAATCTCGCAGAAAACAACTCACAATATTTATTGGTTGCTTTTACGAAAGCAAACTTTATGCGTTGTTTGTTTGTATACATAATACCAAACAAAACTTGAAAAGCAGTTGAGTCATCACGAGGAAGCTAAAGAAAATAAAACGAGTAAACAAACACAATATAATTGTTTACATTAGTGCGTCAAAACGCTTAAATAAAAACGGAATGGTATTAATGTGTTGTACATGCAGCACCGATCTCTTGCAAACAAAACATTGATTGGCTCTTCTCATTATTGTGAAACTGCGAAATGCTTTGTACATTATACAACCGTGAACCAATCCTATAGATACTCGAGAACAAAACGTAATCAAGAATTTTAAATGGCCTATATCAGGAAATCGAAAACTAGAGACCTAAAGAGTTGAGGTTGGTATTTCAAAAAGATCAATCAACAGCTTTCTGGAAAACGTTTTATTCCTGAGAAAAGTCAAGTCTCACTTGGTTTTAAAAACTAAAATGTGTACAGGCAAATATCGCTGAAGGAATTTTAAAAAAAAGGGGGAAGTTTACTTCGAAGGCTATGCAATGGATTTAAAAGAATAAATGTATATTTTACTACTTATAATAAAAGTCATCTTAAAAAAACTACTCAGTATCCTGCTATTATTCTAAATAAATTTATAAACACTGAAGAATAATTGCATAGAAAAATGTGTATATACCTTGTAACTTATTTATTTTTTGAGTAATTATAATTAAATTCTTTAAAAGTGTTTTGCCACTTTCAATATTAACAAGCTGTCAAAGGTAGCCATATGAAATGCCGGCAATAATAATCATGTTATTTGAAATGAGTACGTATGAATATATTTTTGTATTTGCAATACATTCACTTCTTTTCTTCCTGCCTATCCTGCCAAACTTCTCTGCACTTTTGTAAAAATACTGGTGTCTTCTTAGGAATTTTACTTTCAATTAGAGGACCATCACTGCTATCCAGGTCATTGAAAGGCAAATTTCGTTTGCCTCTACGGATAACATAATTTAAATCTTCAAGATTCTAGAATAAAAAGGTGCAGTACATATAGTATCAATATATAATTAAAAGGAATCTCAAAGAAACTTACTTTCCCAGGACTTTTTGAAAACTCATATGTTAGAAATGGTGAATGAGTATGTTCAGATTTTTCCATTCTTGAAATATATATATAGTTATTAGACAATTTTCGTGGATAAGACTGCTTTTCTGTTGGATGTGGTGACAATCGCACATTTTGCTGAAAATGTCGAAATTTAACTCCGATCAATAGAAATTTTTGAAGAATAAATTACCGATTGTTTTTTCTCACTAAAGTTATATGCATATGGGGTTAGTTTCTTAACGTATATATTGTTATAGAAATATATTATATCTCGGTATTCAGGACGTGACCCATCTGAAAAAAAAAATTATTTATTAAATAAGTATTATTAACAAAAAATTTTCTAATACTATAACTGTTAATATTCACATATTTTAAAATAGGTTCTAAAAAGTGGTTTCTGTTGTTTTATTTGTATTGGTTTTGGATTATTTTAATTTAAGTACGTACCAGAAATGGGAGCTAGTGAACCGGAACTACTAGTACACCACATTTACACTATTCAGTGCTGCTTCGAATTGCTTAAAAGAGCAACCCCTAAAATGAATATGTGGTGTGCTCTTGGTAATTATTTGATGTGGTTGCAAAACCACGTCGGCCGTTGTTACTAAGAATTTATGATAAAACAAAGCATCACAAACCTTAGCGATGCACAGTTTGCTTTTGTTTGCGCATCAACAACTTTACTGATGGATTTCGGAACATGATACACCGTCAAAGTTTGCATAGTTGCATTTTTTCTCGTATACGGAAAATGAACTTAAAAGACTTAGTTTTGTTTGGTTGGTAAGCTGTGCGCAAATTTTAAATTTATTGGCAACAAAATAATAATTTAAATGTATATGATAAATATTATGCTAGAATGTATGTTTTGACTAAAACGGAACTAAAAATTATGTCCAAATGCAGTATTTCGTATAAACTCCTTACATAATATAACCCACTGTAAGTACTCCATGTGGGGTATTAAATATATTATTTTCAAAACTTATTTCGTGTATATGTGTACTTTATGGATTTCTCTGATATTGTGCATAGATGGAGAACATGGTCGAAATGTTAGTTAGGCCATATTTTTAATTTGGTTAGCTTTTTATTTGTTTCACGACAAACCCAGCGTTATCCACCCCAACCGACCGAGGGGCGCGTCTGAGGGATAATCGAAAAATCCAACAGACCGGTGTCCGAAAACCAGTAACAGCCCTGAATCAGAAATCGATCACGGAAGGTCGCGGTTACACTTGCCTCTTACACTAAACAGCTACAGAATCATTCATCAGCTGCTATATTGCATGGGAAGAGGACTCAGTGAGTAGGTTTTGATATAGAAACACGATTCAGAGGAATAAATGTTGGTGTAATGTGTATTAAATTCGTTACATAAAGATCTAAAAGTGTCGCGTATTTCAAAGTTTGTTCCGCATAAACACAATAAAAGGGACCTAAAGAGTCTAGATGATCGTAAAAGGATTGAAAAGTTAAGCTCGCTAAGGAGGAATGGGATATTGACACCACCTAAATACACCTCTTATGAATTTAGTTAAAAATAAAACTCCAATCATTTTTTTACTAGTATGGAGTGTACGCAGATTAATGAGTCGTAAACGACTTTTGTAAGAAGGTAGATATTATTTGTTTGATTACCATTTTTGAAAACATTACTGACATGGGTGGAGAATTCTATCATGTTCGATGGGGTAGATTTTCTTTACCAAACCCATGTTGTGAGATGTTTATCATTAATGACATTCAGTTATAATAGCTTTGAAAATTTTTGGGATAGATCAAAGCTTTGATATCTCCCTGTAATTCCCTATTGAATATTGAAGAAGGGAATACATTTTTCTTTACTGGAGAATTGAACATGTTCGTTAATGGTACATATGGAGATTCAGCACCAAAATTTAGGTACGCTAGAAGGGGTATTATGAGTTTTTAAGGGCATTAAGATGGTGATAAACATCATTAGCGGATATATGTGGTACTTTTACGTAATCAAAAGAAGGCGCAAAATTAGATTCGAAAAAGTCTGCGAACATATCATCATTCATTTTCATAGATGATCGAAAACCAAAAGTCTTACGTTCTGAATAACTGAAACTATAGAATGACTTCGGATTGGAAGTAATGTTATTATTCTGAATTTGTGTCATATACTTCTTGTAACACGACTTATTCAAAATATTATATATTTGTCTAGCTACGGAATAAGCACCATAATCAGAAATTTTGCCTGACTTTTTATAGAGCTTGAATAATCTAGTCTTCTTATTTCTCAAGCTATTAAATTCTTTATTAAAAGCATAAAGCATTTTGAGAACGGATCAGCTCATTTGTTATGGGAACAAATTTTCTGAAGGCAGAATGTAAAACACTTGTGAAGTGAACAACGCTTTCTTTCACATTGGAAATTGTAGACAGCGCTATTTTTAAGATTAATATAATTTGCCTTTGAAATAGAAAACGGGAATTCCTTGATTTTGAATTAGTAATTGGATAATTAAGATTAGGGGGAACATCATCCAGAGATGGATAATAACCATTTTTTCGGACAAAAGGAAATTATCACAGCGATTTAAAAAAAATATGACGAAACGTGATCCAAAACTATTAGATCCAAAATCTTTCCAAACTTATTGTGGACCATATGAAAAAGCCCCAGTTCAGAAAGCTCAATTAGGAAATCAGCATACCATGATACACAGGATAAATTGAAGTCGTCTATCACAACAACATTGTCAGATGTTTGACCTCTGACGGCTAGAGAGAGTAAGTGGAAAAGTCAGAATTCCACGGGATATAGCTGGGGACAATATAAATATTTTTATTAATTAATCGTATTTTAACGCAAAGAAATTCTATGGCTTTCGATTTCGCAAAATGAATTTCTCAGCAAGTTCAGTTTTGACACCAATAAGTACTCCACCACCAATTTTATTTATGCGGTCATCTCTAAAAGCTTCAAAGTTGCTCCCATTTGGCTTAAGCCAAATTTCGGAGAAAACCAAGATTTTATAGTCTCAGTTTAAGCTGAGCTTAACGTTCATACATCTTACGTTTCGATAGTACATATTCAAGATAATACCTGTTAGCAGTTTTTTGGCTCAGCGGACACAATAGGTAATAGACCAAGATTGTTTCTAATCTTTCTGTGCTTTAAATCAAACTCTCGAACAAAAGCACCATTTGGCTAAAGTGATGAGTTCAAAAGTATGTCAAAGCAATCAGCGGAAACATCTATTTTATAGGAAGATATAGATCTTTACATAAGAGACTTGCACTTTTTAATATCCTTACTGGATTAAATTTGCCTTATATTTAGGATCGGAAGTCATCCGAAGTTGTATCTTACAAATACGGACTTCCTTTTCAGAACCACAACTAGCTCATTTCTAGAGGTGCTGAAAGAAGTAAACACTCCGGCCCGCAATTATTTCAAAATTCTTAGACGCAGTCGAAGTAGTAGCGGGAGATGGGGCAGGTGCAGGGGAAAGTGGACTTCAAGTCGGAATGTTTGCTACTTCCAATGTCCTAGCGGTAGCTCTAATTACACAACCTAAAGGGTTTGGAGGATTGTGTTCCCCGGAGCAAGTCTTTATTTATTTAAATTCGGACTGATGAATTTATAAGAGCGTCCGAAGCAGTAACTGGATTTACAACTATCCTCTCGTTACTACGTTTTCGCTTCTTTACCCTGGCTTAAATTTCGGAGAATAGAGGAACAAATGCATTTAAGATTTAAATGCGACCTCATATTTTTGAAATTTTTCGGTAAGTACTTTCAAATATTTCCCTACTTCCACTCCTTGTAGTTTTAAAAAGATTAAAAGTGTCAATCTCAACTTTTCTACATTTTAGGCATAGCTAGGGAAGGCCCTTGCCATCATGTATTTAATTCAAAGACAGAGAGAGAAAAATAAATGAAGAGGTAGAAAAAAAAATAAAAACAAACTTAACACCCTCTTTTCTAAATCTAAATAATGTATATGTATGAAACTAAGTATGTTAAAAATGTTAGAATCTTAAAAATTTTTACTCATAAGTTAGATGTAAAAAATTTAGACAACCCCACAGCACGAACATTCGAATGATTTTGGATAACGCTTTAGCCCGTGCCGAGTAGTCACCTTGTCTGCAGGGTTATTGTGTTCTTCCTTCGCACACGCAATAATTTTGAATGCGCTGTATTTTTAATGGTGTTAGTTCCAAATGCAACAAGAATGGTAAACTAGCAGTGCTGAAAACAGCACCGGTACTAATTTCTGGTACATCAATATGCAATTTTTTATAAGAGGCTAAATGTACTTACTATCTCCCTCAGCTGGTTCAATTAAAATCTCTCTGTAAGTACTACTTTGAGCTTGAGGCTGTTTTCTATAAAATCTCATTATGTCAGTAAATGATTTACATTTAATTTCCTTCACCTAGAAAAGTTTTCAAATTATACGAAATATTCACACAAATAATTTTTTACACAAACCCTTATATACAAATAAATTCCGCACATAAGCATTTGATCAAGATGGCGATCCCGCATTAATTCCGTTCTTTGAGTTATTGAATATTCAAAAAGAGTCCACAATTTATTCAAGTGTGTTTCTTCAGCCAAATTAAGTTCATGGCACAATTCCTTCAGCCTAATCCAAGCCAGTTTATAAAACTGAAATTTATCAAGTTTTCAAATGATACTATACTATAAAATGGCTATAATTTACTTACTTTTCTGCAGAAAATTGTTAAAGATGCCGCCCGCCTGTTACCTTCTATCTGTTTTTTGTATATAGCTTCTTTCTCTCGTTCGTTAGACGCTTCTATAATTAAGTTTTTTTCTTAATATACATATACATACATCTATACATCTATATCTTCATATATATATATATATATTTTGTATACCTTTTGCGCTATTGAAAAGATCCCTTCGTGTAGATTCATTGACAATTGTAGAACTAAATGTTTCGTACGCAGAACAATTGGGAGACTGGGGAACTAAGGTTAAGTGATACGAAGAATAAATTTATGTTATGTTAGAATTTCGTATGAAACTTACTTTGAGGTTGATATCGTTTAGCTAAATTATCAACATCTACCTCGGACCATGGCGGTAATGTAAACGTTTTTATGATATCCCATAAAGGAGATTCACTTTGCCAAGCCAAGGATTCAAGGCATGTCTCTTCAATATAATTTAGATGTTTAATCAATGGACGTGAGAGTAATTCATCATGGCTTCGAACCACTATTTCGATAATCTTATGAAAATGGAAAGCGGATATACTGAAGCATTTTAATATCCATGGAAACTTTTTTTGAGATTGATATGCGTCAAGCACAATTTCGACACAGCAAGCGATGAGCGTTGTTACAAAAGTTTCATTTCCCAATAAAATTTTGAGATCAATATTAGGTTTTGTTCTAGTTTCTACTCTTAGAATTTTATCTAATAAATAGAAAAATAAAGACTCTGCCGTCTGAAAACGATCGCCGACATCCGCGTTTCCTAGCGCAGAATTGAAGTCTTTTTGCATTTGAGTCAGCTTTTCATAGATTTTATTTATAGTCTCCGAGCCAGCTTGCCTGCAGAAGGTATAACAATAGTCGGTTGAACCTAATTTATAAAATTGTGTGTTTTTCTAATACATTTTTCAATTATACGCTAATTACAAAAAAAAGACATTGGAGTTAAAAAAAGTGTAAATAATTTTTTTAATTTTAAACAATTTACATAAAACGCATATTAAGTAATTTTTTCTAATCCCAGTTGTCCTTCAGCGCCAGTTATATCCGTATATATATATGCATATACATTTTGGCAAATTGGCTTAACATGGCATTGACAAATTTACGTATTATAAGATACAGTATAATTATATCATTAAATAATTACTGTATCCTAAATACGGTATATTTTTAAAACATGACATATACAAATGTTTACCTTATGAAATCAGTGGGTTCGGATATATTTGCAATATCTTTTAGTTTTTTAACATTATGCGTTGCACTGGCTACAGGTTCGGTAAAATCTTCTTTGTTCGGCAGAATATGTTTACGAGTATAAGGCGTCTGTGAACTTGGAACCTATATATATATGTTTAAGATGTAAAGAAATATGTCGTTGCTTATATATGTAAATGTATGATTGGTATTCACTTACCGAATGGCCATCGTCGCCAACATCTGCAAAAAAAATTTAATTTCATTATAATAATAAACACAACTTTTAATGAAGTATACCTGAACTACTTAGTTTTCTACAATTAGGATTACTAAGTAGTATTCTTTCATCGAATTCGCCAACACTTAATACGTACTGCTCATATGCACTGTTTAAAGATTTTACATTTCTATCGAAGTTTTCGTTAGAAATAATTCCTAAAAACATATTCTCGTTTCCTTGTATTGTCTGCAATATATTATATTTTATAGTTTTGCTCATTTATAATGTTTCAATTTAAAGTCCTTAGAATAAAACGTACCTTTGTTTGAAAAAACTTTGTAAAAATTTTTTTACAATGGTTTTCCTTCATTTCTCTAGCATCGTTGGACAATGCCCCGGTAAGAGAGCAGAGCGCTCCAATGATACAGTAACCGTTTAATTTTTGTGCATTAAACATCGGTGTACCCCACTTTTCTGGTATACCTTCGAAGTTCCGATTGACGAGATCTACTCGATTTTCTGCTAAAACATTTATGTAAATTAGATCTATGCAGCACAACAATAAATGGAAAGAAGTCACTATATCCATATTATAACTGGGGTCCTCATTCTTCGCGCACAAATAAAGGCACCAACATAAGTCGTACAACTTACTAGATGAGCATCTTGCAACAGACCTGGAATTATACAGAAACATTGGCAGTTTTAAATCTCCTTTTCCAAAATAAAAATTTAAATGCTTTACATAAAAATCATAAATATTTTAACACAGTTGTACATTGAACCATAAAAACAGAATAATTTGAATTTTGAAAATTAAATTAAATTACGGTGTTTTCTTTATCAACCATCGTTTTGAAAAACACTAATAAGCTTGATCTCTACGACTTATAATTAATATATTACTTAGGCAAGTAAATAATTAAACCGAAAATTTCCTTCTTTTTCTTGATACAACTATAGCTAAAATATTTTTATTAATCTATATTTTATTTATACCTGTATTTTGTGTTTTTCTTATCATTACGAGATGAAATAAATAACTTTTCGAATATATCATTGTATCGACAATAAAGATGAAATGTTATTCCAGGGGTTCTTTCCAATCTCTCAATTTGTCTTAGAAAACTGGCTGGTAGTTTTGCCATATCATGCCAGACCTTGATTTTTGATATAAATTCCGATATACTAATAATAACAATATATTAATTATCACATTTAATTGATATACATTTCTTAGAATTTACCTTATTTTACAACATCGAAGCATTTTGTTTAAAGATATACAGTTGCCCACAACAATTGCATTAGCTCCGCCAACTGTGGGTGTGTAAGACAGTCTACATGCAGCGTAAAGTGCACAACAAAACCAATGTAAAGGCTCACCCTATAAACAAATTACAAGTTTGCATAAATTTTAAAGTATTCACTTTTTGGTACCTCTAACGATGATCGCTGAAAGACTTCTTCAAACATTTTCCACGAACGTTCCTCCGTTTCTCGATCCATATTTAGTTCCCTACACAAGTCCTCATACTGAGAAAGATAGTTGTTAGCATTCTTATTCTCCGACATTTTTACTATTTACAAACGATGTTTATATGTTCTTTATTGTATAGGTCCCCAAAATAATTATATTTCTTAAAAAACTGGAGACTTTTTAACCAAGGAAACAACAACTACGTGCTGAGAAACCATTACCATCAATTATTAATAATTTCGTCACAAACTAAATTTTATATTTTATTTTCTAATAGCACTGTCTTTAATATTACTAGTGTATATGCAATCTGCTGTAAATGTCACAAAAACGCGGGAATATTTATCGTTGCCACCAAGTCTGAAATGCGCATTGTTGTCACCCTCATCCGAAGACCGCTTACGAATGAGAAGCCACAGGCAATTAAGGTATATGATTTAAGGGTATTGAGATTTGATCAAAATAAATAAAATTGGGTGTACAAATTTTTGAGATCTACAGGCCTACTCTATCTGTTACCGGTAGAGTAAATTTTGTTACTTTTTTTTAACACCCGCAATTGAATTTGGTATTCAGGCAAACTGGTTACAATGATTTGAAAAACTTTGGTAGCACTGCATTTTAAGTCCCTGCCAAATTGCATGTTTCAGTTGGTAAAGTTAAAAAGAAGAATATATCCAACGAAATGGAAGACGGTGCACAACAAAATAAATAAGTTTTATTTATTTGTTTATTGAATCATAAATATTTGATCCTAATTTTAGAAAATATGCCTAAACGACAAAAAATAAGTTAAATGAAAACGCTATCTTCCAAATTAAAATGGACATCTGTTTCTCGCAAACTTTTTAGCATGCACCTTTTTACTCTTTTTTCCTCATCTTCAATGAATTTTAGTCCTAAAATATGCCTCCCACTTTTGTTTATTTTTTTTCTGAAACTAACAACAAATTTTTTGTTAGCTCCTATTTCACAAAATTTAAAGGTTGATAGTAACTCAGAAATTTTGTTACCTCGACGGAATAGGTCTGCTAGTGTTATATAATACTCAAAAATTTACAGTGTGGACCGTAATCATTATTTCTTTTTTATACCTTAACACTATTCTGCACTTATGACCATATAGTGCACAATTGAACAGAAATATTTTTTTTTTTTTGCTTTTATCTTCCATCTCTATTGCGCAATCGTTGGCAGCATGATCGGAAAAAATCGATGTTTTTTGATATATATAATGTTCCACCGGCTTGTCATAACAATTCTAGCAATATTTTTTTCTATTGTTTTGGTGTTTCAGTGTGGATATAAATAAATATATCATTGCGAAAGAATTGTCTAATTATCTTAAAAGTGTGATATACTTAACTAATTGAAAAGAAACATGCTTTCTATAGGTGTAGAATCTATGTCAAAATATATGAAACAATTATATAATATGAAAGGTCTTGTTATGGTGAAATATACAAAAGAGCTCCGAAGCAATCAGCTTTTTAGTATTCCAAAAATCTGTACTGCGACACATAAGGTATGAGGCTTGAATTATTTGCTGATATGGTTTATTCTACCGCTTAATTAATTGGTTTCAGGTCAAACAGTTTTCTATTGAATACAAGGCGGGAGTTAATTTGCTTGCAAGATCGTGTAATATGTCACCTTTATTAGTTCGCAGATTACATTTAAGTAACACTGTTCTAACTACCAATAATCCGGGTAGTGGTAAGCAGAAGCCAGACAATTCTAACGAGAATGATAGAAACAAGTCAAATAAGAATGACAAAGACGGAAACGAAAATGAAGATAAAGTAAAATCAATCCTCTCTAAAGCACTTTTATGGATGTTTGCTGTTTATATGTTCGTTGTATTTGTATCATTAATAATGACTCCCAGAGCGGAACGTCCTGAGGTATAGTATTAATATTAGAAATCATATATATACGGCCGTAAGTAATAAGTTGAGTTAAAATTAAAACTGTATAAAAGAGCACAGAAATGTGTTTTCCTTTTTTGTTTTTAACAATAGCTTCTTAACAAAAAAAAAAAAGAAAAAAATGTTTATATTATCCATGTTAGATTTCCCAAAGGAAACAACTTTGAAAAGCATTAAAATATTTGAAGTAGTATCAAAGTAATTATATTCAATTTAAAACGCCATATATAATTTGCCAATATTCAAATAATTTCAATAGCCCTAATGGTTCAACATGCGTTTGAGAAACCATATGTATGTGATAACGTACTTTTGAAAGTAGTTATGTTATATTAGGTTCAATCAGTATTCATCAACATTTATGTAGGTAGTCCAATTCTACGAATTTTATTTTACCATCTAAAAAATGATTATGAATCAGATTTTATTATATGTTGGGGTTTCGTACTTTGGAGTACACCATAAAAAATGTAATCAATAGTTTCTTAACAAAAAATTATCAAGACAATTTTGGCAATTAGTCGAAATAATAGACCTTTAACAATTTATACGAATTTTCTAAAAAGATTTAAGTAGCCATCCATATAGTTTTACAGTAAGTATATCTTCAAAAAAGATGATTACAACAATCATGACACAACATCTTTCTCTGAAATGCATAGTGTCAATTACTAAAAAAAATTTGAGGAGAGTGATTTTTAATATTTGTTCAATATTTCAGTACATATTCTTTGGAGTAATTTTCTACCTTCACCTTTTAGGGTTCAACAAGATACGTATCTTGGAATGAGTTTGTACATCACATGTTAGCTACCGGTGAAGTGAAAGAACTCATTATAAGGCCGGATATGGAAATGGTTACAATAATTTTGCATGAAGGTGCTATAATTAAAGGAAAAAGGGTGTCGTCCACAATATTTCATATGGCCATAGCTGATGCATCTAAATTTGAGGAAAAATTGCGGGAAATTGAAAAAAGACTTGGTATAGCTGAAGGCAAGTATATAATTTTTGTTTTAATATTCTTCGTTGATCCTTTTTAAAAATTTATAACATTTATTTGTTAGAACTGTACGAGATATGAAAAATATAGATCTATAGTACAAAATTAAATAATTTAATAAATACTAAATTGTAGGCGTTGCTGTTACATATGACAGGCAAAGTGATATTACTGGGCGTATAATGGTGCTACTTCTATTCTTCGCTTTAATTATGTCCATTGCATCGAGAATGAAGGGAGTCAGAAGCCCTATAAACATGGATTCTTTCGTAAGTAATCTAGTCGATTAATAAATACATATGTGTCTACATATATTCAATTTATTGAATCTTGTGAAATAGTCTCAAATGGGTCGGGCGAAGTTCACTCTTGTGGATCCGTTTGAGGGTGGAAGAGGGGTACTTTTCAAAGACGTAGCAGGTCTACAAGAAGCTAAACAAGAAGTAAGGGAATTTGTTGACTATTTGAAAACACCCGAAAAGTATCAAAGATTGGGGGCTAAAGTTCCTAAAGGAGCATTACTGCTAGGACCACCCGGCTGTGGAAAGACTTTATTGGCAAAAGCTGTAGCTACGGAAGCCCAAGTACCTTTTCTGAGCATGAATGGCTCAGAATTTATAGAAATGATTGGTGGTCTTGGTGCAGCAAGAGTAAGAGATCTCTTTCAAGAAGGAAATAAACGAGCTCCTTGCATAATATACATAGATGAAATTGATGCAATTGGTCGGCAACGGTCTGGAACAGAAAGCTTTAGTCAAGGAGGTTCTGGCGAATTAGAACAAACATTAAATCAGCTTCTTGTAGAAATGGATGGTATGGCGTCCAAAAAAGGAGTTCTCATGCTTGCTAGTACCAACCGAGCTGATGTATTAGACAAGGTAACGAAAAAATATATTTATAACATAAAGGGATTCCATACTAAAGTTTTATTAGGCTCTACTTCGTCCTGGTAGATTTGACCGTCATATACTCATAGATTTGCCAACTTTGCATGAACGAAAAGAAATTTTTGAGAAACATTTGTCCAGTATTAAACTTGATTCGGACCCAACAAAGTTTTCAGAAAAACTTGCTAGATTAACACCAGGATTTTCAGGAGCTGATATAGCAAATGTGTGTAACGAAGCTGCCCTACATGCAGCACGAAATTGTGAAACAAAAGTATCCCAAGCAAATTTGGAATATGCTGTGGAGAGGTTGGTTGGTAAGTTATAATGTAACACTAATCAAATCGCAGGTAAGATTAACTGATTATTATTACTTCTTTACGTGATTATTTTAAACTTATTTTTTGATGATTTACCATAAACTTCCGAATAAGTGAACCTGTGGTAAACTTTCTAACTTTGCTTCAAATGTTTTATATGTTGCTCACCAAATTATTGACCGGGCATAATTTTTTCAACTAGTTACCATACCATACTTTTCACTCTTAAAAGTTTTTCGTTAAAACATTTTCATTATCGTGTAATTATTATATTTCTTATTTTAGGTGGAACTGAGAAACGCTCTCACGCACTATCGCAAGTGGAAAGAAAGGTTGTAGCTTATCACGAATCTGGACATGCCCTTGTTGGCTGGCTTCTTCCTAATTCTGATATTTTACTGAAAGTAACAATTGTGCCCAGAACAAGTCTCGCTTTAGGATTCGCGCAATATACGCCTAGTGAACAGAAATTGTATAGCAAGGAAGAGCTTTTTGATAAAATGTGTGTTGCACTAGGAGGTAGAGCGGCTGAAAATATAATATTTAATAGAATAACAACTGGAGCCCAAAATGATTTAGAGAAGGTTACTAAAATCGCATATGCACAGGTAATTTCTTAAAATAATGTAACTCACTTTGCCAAAATAAAACCTTTAAGATATTCTTTTGCAGATTAAAAAATTCGGAATGAATGACAATTTAGGGCCTATATATATAACCGATGCCGAAGAAAAAGGGATTTATACGCATCCATATTCAGAAAACATGCACAAGATTGTTGATAAAGAAGCCCAAAACCTAATAAGCAGTGCCTACTTTAAAACCGAAGAACTATTGAAAAAGAACATTGATAAATTAGAAAAGGTAACAAAGTGAGTTTCCTTATTACTATTGGATCCCACATTGTTTATAATTTCAGATGGCTGAAGCGCTGCTTGAAAAAGAAACGTTGTCTTATGAAGAAGTGGTCAATCTAATTGGCCCACCTTCTTACGATGTCGCAAACAGAGCACTAGAGCCTGTTGAATTCGAAAAGTCATTAAAAAATCTTAGCGAAAATGATGAGCAATCATAACTTTGACATACTTATGTATATATATACATATTATTAAGTGTTATTTTAAAGTTTTGTTATGAAAAAGTATAAAAGCAAATATAGAAAAGTTCAATGACTAATCACCTTTCTAAAAGATTTTATAAGTTGAGTCAAATTGATATCGCAAATTGGATATATATGCACTTGCTTCTGAAAGTATAGTACGATCTTCAATTCCCAATCTAAACTCTTATTCTACAACCACTTATTCCTGGCTGTGAGCTTAATTAAATTTTTTTATTTATCAATTTTGATTGAATGGCGCTTGTAGTTTCAGGCATAACTAAGAGCTAAGACATACAATCCTTATGAAATATGCTAAAGGGGTCATATAAAAGAGCGCAAATTTTGTGTTGGACATGTGGTGAGATAGAGAGACTCCGTCTTGGTGGATGTACGTCTCGCCACATCCCGCATCAAAATGAAATTTTTAAACACAATGTTTATTGTCGGTCTTGCCCCGAAGAGAGAGAAGGACGATGTGACCAAAGATGCCTTTTATGAGCGTCTCGAGCATACTTGTAAGTGCTGCCCTCGCCACGATTTCAAAATTATGCTTGGCGGCTTTAACGCCAGAGTGCACATAGAAGTTATCTGCGGCACAACTGTCTGAAAATTCAGACTGCACGACGAAACATCCCTAAATGGGTTGAGGCTGATCGACTTCGCCGGGGATCTAAATATGGTTGTCTGTAGTACTAGATTTCAGCATAATGAAATTCACCAAGCTGTTTGGCTGTCTCAGATAGAAAATCTCACAACCATATCGATCAAGTATCTAGTGTTTTAGATGTGTGTTCCCATGGTCATAGCATCGACTCGGATCACTATCTTGTAGCAGTAAAGATACCCACGCGCCTCTGTGTTTTCAAGAACGCCAATTAACAAACAAGGAATGTTTATCGTCGTTAATCTGTAATCATAACGTACAGCCGAACGGTTTTCTACTCGGCTTGCACACCTATTTTTGAGAGCACTCGTCAGCAACATGATATAAGGGAACTGTGGAACGGCATCTCAAACTCCCTACCCTCGCAGTGCCAAAAAAAAGCCAGACTGCCTACCTGAGGTGTGGATGTGCTTGGTTTGGCTGCTACATTACTGCACCCAATATGTTGTCTACCCACCAAAGCCTTTATTTGATTGGTCAACACTAATTTTTAAATTTTGAAGGAGAGAATAGTACTTGTTCTTTTCAAGCATATGTTTCACTCTTATATTTTCAGTAAAGAAACCAAAGAAGCAGGAAACTGTAACAAGTGCACTAATCACTTTAAAATGTTTTGCGTAATTTGTTGACGGGATCTAAGCAAAGCATAAACAAAGTTTGAGTAAAATGAGTTATAATTTACAAACGATGATAATAGAATGGATATTGTGACACAATTCAATATTTTTAAAAACAAAATTAACAAATTTAAAAATTAAATGTAAAATAACAAATAAATTTTTATTCTTTTCGCCGTACATGTATATGTAACACCAAAAGTATAAAAGAAATATTTTATGGTGGTTATCCCTGATATTCAAGTTTTGCAACCTACCCTCGGTTTTTATAAAATTACTTCAGCTATAATGCAACTGCGATTCCCTAAGCCATCAAAGATGCTGTGAGTGCAGTATACCCAAATCTGTACCCATTCGATGTTGATGTTGTTGTTGTTGTAGCGGTTCACTAGCCCCGCTTAGGCACAGGTTTGGTCAGTCAAAGTCGCCGAGGTCATCTAATGGTAGGCCCAGGAAACGAGCTGTTTCGACGGGGTTGAACCAAAGGGAGAGGGGGGTTAGATGAGTTGGTTTGAGAAAGCATGTGAAGAGGTGGTTTCTGCGGTAGCATCCCAACAAGAACTGCTTGCACAGTAAAGCATTATGCTCCTTAACTCGTAGCATAGATGCTTTCCTGTGATGCTCCGGCGACATCAGAAGGTTTCCTGTCGCGGTCCTGAGGGCGGTGTTCTGGCAAGACTGTAACTTCTTCATCTGCGTCTCTTTCGTCCCCGGCGCCAAGATCAGTGCAGCATAGTATACGACCGGCCAGCCAATTGCTTTATAAGTAGCCAGCAAAGTTTCTTTGTCTTTACCCCAGGTGCTGCCGGCTAGCGCTATGAGTATTTTGTTGCGGCTCTCGAGTTTCGCGGCAATTGCGGTCGTATGCGGAGTGAAGAAGTGCAGGCTACTCCCAATATTTTTGGGTTATTTACCGTCGGAATTTTTGTGTCATTGACCTCCACATCTAGTTCAAGCCTGTACTCCTTCGTCCAGCTGGTGAAGAGGGTAGCCGAGGATTTCGTCGGTTGAATTTGTAGCTGTCTTGCAGTGAAGATGTGGGAGAGATCAGCGAGGTAGTCGTTCACTTTCGAACAGAGGTCATCAATATCCTGGCCAGACGCCATTATCGTACAATCATCGGCATAAGAGGTTAGGGAAACTCCTTCCGGTGGTGGAGGGAGTTTCGAGATATAAAAGTTAAACAGTAGCGGGGAGAGGACATCACCTTGCGGAACCCCCTGTTTATTTTTTCTGGATTTAGATGTTACACCTCGGAATATTACCGATGATTGTCGACCACTCAGGTAGCCAATGACCCACCTCTGCAACCCCGGCGGTAATGAGGATTCCTCAATGTCCGTTAGTAGCACTGAGTAATTGACTGTGTCAAAAGCTTTTGACAAGTCCAGTGCTACTAGGACAGTTCGCACGCAAGGTCGGTTTTGGACTATCTGGGTGTTTATGGCGTTAAGTGCTGTTGTGGTGCTGTGCACTTTTCGGAAGCCATGCTGATGCGCTGCTGGACGCAGATGGTGAGTGAAGGTCGGGAGCAGTAAAGCCTCAAGTGTCTTCGCTACTGGGGAGATGAGAGTTATCGGCCGATAGGACTTTCCTTTGTTGGCTGGTTTCCCCGGTTTAAGTAGCGAGACCACCCTACCCATTTTCCACACATCGGGTATCTTCAGGGTGGTCAGAGACAAATTGAGGACCCTCGTGAGAAATTCTGCTCCCTCTGGTCCAGGGTGTTTCAGCATCAGCATGCTTATTCCGTCGGGGCCGATGAATTTGGAGGTTTTCGCCTTCCCGATAACCCCCTGAACCTCCTCCCTGGAGAAATCAAGCACCGCGCTGGTGTTTGGCAGTTTGGGCATACGGCGGGTTACACGTCGTTTCGCTTTGTCTACCGAGGGATGCAGTGTGAAAAGTCGGCTAAAATAGATCGCGCATCTCTTCGGGTCCGACGAGGCGCGATCACCGAATGAAATTTCCACCCGGTCATCGCGTCGCGTCGGGTTAGACAGGGATTTGACTGAAGCCCAGAGCTTGGTTGCCCCAGAAGAGAGGTTGCAGGTCCTTAGATGCTCCTCTCACTTTTTGCGCTTGTGATTGTCTACTACTCTTCGAATCTCCGCGTTTAAATCCCTGATTAGGGGATTCCCGGGATCGGAGCTTCGGAGGGTGTTGCGCGTAGATGCTAATACCGCCGCTTCTGTCGGAAAATTTGGGGCGATTTCCTGAAGTGGGAAGAATCCTAAAGGCGTTCTCAGTAAATTCCGTGAATCCGGGCCAGTTACCTTTTTTAAAGTTAAAAAATGTCCGGTGGCCCGCGGAAACAAAGTTGGGAGGCCTGTCAATCAAGATTTGTATGGGCAAGTGGTCCGATGCTAATGTCAGTATAGGTTAATGTCAGTATACTGCTTATCAGACCAGCACTCGCAACTTTTATGTCTGGCGAGCTTTGGCAATTATCCATAACTCTGGTGGGAGTGTTATCGTTCATTGTGCAGAATGTCGAATCGTCAATCTGTTCTGCCAGCTCCATTCATCTACGGTCATTTGACAGGCTAGAATGCCAAAGATCGTAATGCGCGTTAAAGTCGCCCAAAACCAAACGTTTTTCGTCCCTGGGTAGCGCACCTATGTCAGGGGTGTATCCTGCTGGGCAACTTGTAACTGGAGGAATGTATATATTGAATATTTCGAGCTCGACATCGCCTGACCGGATATCTATGCCCTGACATTCTAGATCTGATCCTGGACGCTGGCAGAATGGGGCGCTGGCAGAATGGGGCCACGTGTACCCATTTGATCAAACATACTGCTGTTAAAGCAATGCTTTGAGTGGTGAGATGTATACTTGTATGCAGCTTTCGTTCCAAGCATCTCTTCGACATGTTTTGTTCTTTTAAAGCAAAAGGGAGGCTGTATATAAAATCCATTCGATCTACCACAACACTTTTTAGGTGTTGATCAAGTGTCTGATGACCAGAGTATACTGAATGGCAGCGAAAATGAAACACCCGGGGATGATGAACCTGAAACCCCAAACGATGACGATGGAAAAGATGTTCTATTACCCAACTATGCCGAGGTTCGAAAGCGATTGCTCGCTTAAAGAACAAAAAAGCGGGTGGAGCTAACGGCGGAGCAATTCAAACATGGTAGTGAAGCGCTGGCATGGTGCATGCATTAGCTTCTTTGCAATATATAGTAGGATGAAAGCTTGTCCGACGATCAGAACCTGATTGTGTTCTGCCGAATCCATAAAAAGAGCGGTCTCACAATCTGTGCAAAATTACCGTGGCATCCTCCTTGACATCGCATATAAGGTCCTAAAAGCGTTTTGTATGAAAGACTAAACTGATTGGACTTTTTCAGTGTGGCTTAAGACATCGACCTTTGGTCAGATATTCACCATGCGTCAAATATTGGAAACGACGCACTCCACCATATCGCCGCTTTATAAGAACGAAAAGAAGCTGCCTCTACGCCGCTATGACTGGAGAAAAAAAAAGAGAAGCATAGCTAATAGCCAACCACTGGCGTATGCCGATGTTTTTGGTATCATAGGTCTTAACAACCGTGCCCTTAGTTATGCTTTCTAAAGACTAGACAAAGAAGCGAAAATAATGGATGTGCTGGTGAACAAGGACAAGACGAAATATCTCCTGTCATCACATCCGCGACTCGGCTCCCACATCACCGTTTACAGTCATAGCTTTGAAGTCGTAGATAACTTCGTCTATTTAGGGACCAGTATTAACACCAACAATAACGTCATCCCTGAAATCCAACGCATAATCACTCTTGTGAACAGGTGCTACTTTGCACTGAACAAAAACCAAATTGTACAAGTCGCTCAGCATACGCGACCTTCTACATATATGGCGCAGAAACGTGGATGATTTGGTCGACTTTGGAGGCCTTTGAGAAACGATTTATGGTCACTTGCGTATTGCGATGGAAAGGAAATACGCATCTGCTTTGAAATTATTCGACGCAGTACCCGCTGGTGGAAGCAGAAGAGGAAAACCTCCACTCCGTTGGAAGGATCAGGTGGAGAGCGTCCTTACTTCCCTTGGTATTTGTACAATAAAGAAGAAGAATCCATACAATTGAACCAACTAAATGATTGCTTTCAACTTGCTTTCATTTACAAGTAATTTACTTTATTATATATACATAATTTACACTTTATTGTTAAGAATTGGTATAAAAAAGCATACATTTACAAAGCTGAAGCTTTCTTTAAAGCGTTCTCTAAATCTTCAATTAAATCATCAACATCTTCTAGGCCAACAGAGAGTCGTATTAGGGATTCGTTTATACCTAATTTCTTGCGTTCCTCCTCAGGTACAGAAGCATGTGTCATAATTAGCCTGGCAAAAAATTTATTATTATTATCTATGTATTTAATAAAATAAAATTTAAATATGTGACAATAAAGATAAAATAAATTGGAATCAGCAACAGCTTGTTATAAATAATAACTCACGGAATTTCTGCCAAACTTTCATATCCTCCCAAGCTTTCGGCTAACGTAAAAACTTTTATGCTCTGAAGAAAAACTTTTGAATTTTCTAAACCACCTTTTAAGTAAAAGGAAAAGACACCACTGTATCCATATGTTTGTTTAAGAGCGAGTTGATGCTGAGGATGAGAAGGCAATGCTGGATGTATAACTTTTTCAACAAAAGGATGTTTCTCCAGAAACTTTGCGATAGCAATTCCATTCTTCTGATGTTGTTCCATGCGAAGGGCGAGTGTTTTCAATCCACGATTTACTTGATAACAATCAAATGGGGAAGGCACAATTCCGGTTGCTGTAAGACGAGAAAGTGACCCGTATGGATGATTTCAGAACCAAATAAATATATATATATGTGTATATATATACCGTTTTGTAAGAATTTCAATTTGTTATATAATTCTTCAGAATTCGTAGCAATGCAACCCATGACAACATCAGAATGTCCGTTCATATACTTAGTTAGAGAATAGCACACCAAATCAGCGCCCAACTCCAAGGGCCTTTGAAAATATGATGTTAAGAAAGTATTGTCCACTGCAAAAATAACTTGTCTTTTTTGACTAATTTTGCTAATTGCTTCAATATCAGCCACTTTAATCAATGGATTGGTGGGCGTTTCTATCCAAACCAGCTGAAATAAAATTAAACATTATTAACAATTATTCTAAGCCGTCTCCGAACGGCCAATGGATTTTTATGAGGAGCTTATATTTCATAATTGGCATGAAAAAATATTTCTTTAAAATTTTAAATGTTGGTGGAACCAGGACTCGAACCCTGGCATTCCGAAAGTCAGTACGCCATTGAATAAGGATGTTGAATAAAAAGCTGCAAACCTTTATGACAAGCAAGTATCAGGTGAACCAAATTTTTTTAAATAAATAATGCTTTTATTTTATGTAAGAAATACTTTCAGAGTTATTGACATTGCCTTCCGATGAGAGATGACATAAAAAATGTACAACCCACCTGGCTTCTAAATATCTAGATAGTTTTATTTTCTGTTTTGTCATTACAAGTTAAAGACAAAGTTTAATTGTCGAAGAGCTGGGTACAACAACAGATGTCAAAGCAAGTAATTATGATCGAAAATATGAAGAAGTTGGAAGAGGGGTGGAGAACAAATTTAATGATTGACACTGTCTATACAAAAGTGTAACTTATTTGTCACGTTTTTCAATAATAATAGTATGCTTATCTAGTCTGAAGTGCAGATGTGCAAATTAAGGAAAAATATACACTCATGATAACAATCATAAACTAAATAAAGCAAACAAAATTAATAGCTTTGAAGTGCTTTAATATAATAACATTTTAAACAATTCGAACTTTTAAGTTAATAGCAACACATAAAAAATGTATCAATAAGAAAAATTAAAAGTGAAGCAATAAGTAAGCGCAGTAGGAGAACTAAAAAAAAACAATAAGCTTAGGTTTTTTATTTAAGTAATAAAAATTTCATAACCATATAAAATGGTCTAAAAAAAGGAAATACAAGCTATATATTAGTGTTTAGTTAAAACTTGTTAAGGAACGCTAGTATATGTGACATATTAATTGTTTACATTCGCGATTTATTTATTCTATTTCTTTGTACACACCACACGATATTACAAAAAGACAACTGAATTTCAAGATTTGAAAAAAAAAACATTTTATTTAATAAACTACGTTTCACAAATTTATTAAATAAAATATTTTTTTTTTTCATTTAAATTAAAATATACATATGTTATAATATATTCATTTATATTAAATACTGTTGGGCTTACTTTCGTGTTTGATTTAAATGCTGCTTCAAAAGCCATAAGATCAGTTGGGTCCACAAAGCTGTATTCGATTCCAAGTCGTGATATTACTTGCCTAAAAATTAAAACAGAAAGGAAGCGAGCTATTACGTAATGAAAACTTTATATAAGTAAATATATGAGATTTAGATAATCATCATAGTAGTTTTCACAATTAATCACAAATTAGGAAATTATTGTCGAATGCTTGCAAAATTTAAAAAGTGATTATGAACTCATTGCACCTTATTAGACGTGCTGTTCCTCCATAGACATCATCACCAACGACAATATGATCTCCAGCAGATAACATTGAGAACAGAGTCATTGATGTACCAAGACCAGATGAAAAAGTTAATCCATACTTGGCACCATCTAGAGCTGCCAAGCATTTCTCTAACACATTGCGAGTTGGATTTCCGCTTCGAGAGTATTCAAAACCCTGAAAACCAAAGTAAGATAATATATGTGTATGCATGTACATACAAACATATTAGTTAAACAGTTATATACAATATACATATATTTTTTAAAAAGGTTTTGGATGACACAAAGGAGTTTGAGGTAATATACCCCATTGCTGCGCTTGCTTTGCAGAGCTTCAATGAATTATATCCTTTAGCCAAATCTTAAAAAAGCTTTGATCGCTGTGAATAACACTTTTTCAAATAATAAAAAGCAAAAAAAATAATACCGAATTAGCTACAGCTACGTCAAAGTTTAACACCATTGAGCCATTATCTTTAGACGACATCCGGATTAGGGGCAGTTACCTTAGATTATGTAAATTAGAGGCCGGTTTAAAATAAATTATTTTTATAAATGTAAGTTTATTAACACTTAACAACATAAGTGCATATATTTGTGCATATGTATAGAAGGCAAATCATTCACAATGCAAACATAAGTATCTCTGTAATGTTGACCTCAAGTCATATTATTTCAATTACTAACGATTAGAACCTTTAGAAAGATGTAGATATGAACACGTACGTTTATATGTTTATATTTGTATTATTATGTGTGTTTATACACGTATTGTCATTCATTGATAACAATAACATTATGATAGCGTATATAATTAAATATGGACAGGTTTTTCACATGCAAGTCTTTGTTTATATATATATATATATATATATATATATATATATAAACCTGTCAATATTTAATTATATACGCTATCATAACGTTATTGTTATATATATGTATATATATATACATAAAGCCTGACAATATGTATAATTTGGCCTTTGTTACCGCTTAAGCGATTTTCGACTGAGCTCCTCTTTTAATTTGCGGTTTTGCTTCGTGATGCTTTTTCACCAAATGGAGTGACCTACAGTTTATACTAAGCCGCCTCCGAACGGCTGATGGGCTACTATGAGGAGCCTTTATTTCATGCCACAATTACACTCGGAGGAGTTAACAATCCCTGCCGAGGCGCAGGTTGTTAGTCGCCCCAGGATATGATACGGGCCTTCCGAAAGGCATTACACAATGATAAACACTCGGAAATTGCGGCCGGCAATGTACAGTGTATGTATTTTGAGGCCGACTCAGTCTCTTTTTAAAGCGAAACTGCTATGGGATAATATTTATAGCATCTGAGTCCAACATTGGCGTCCGATGGTCATGGGTTCGTGTTCTGAACAGACCAGCATCCTGCTTGATCGAGAATCGCTTCAGAAGTTATAAAGCGCCAATTATATATATGTAGATCAAGAGCCAAATGCACATCATGTTAGACTAACATGTTAAAACCAACTAAAAAGATTTGGAAAGCCATATGTTACTAGCAGGCATTATTTTCTTCATTCAACATATGAAAATACACGAGTTTTTAAAAACATAGCAATTTAGTGATCCATACGAAAAGTGATTAAATTAGAAAATTACACCTCACGTTCGTAATTTCCTTGCTCGTTTTTGTACAATTTCATGCAGTTTTATTTTACCGACAAAAGGAAAGATTACACACTAATTTAAAAAGTCAAGCGTTTTATTGGTTTGCTTATTTACATGCACATGTAAACACAAGGTGCCAAACTACATAACAGATTCCTCAATTTTCATTACTTTTGGAAATTTGTAAACTTGTATAATATTGAAAATAATACTATCCATGCTAGTATTTCCAACACTTACCTCGTGTTCACCAGGCCCATGTTGTTTAAATGTTGTGCTCAAACTTATTTGGGGAACTATACTCATACTTTTCCATTGCAAAGGATTTTGTCCGGCATGAATAGCTTTCGTAGCAAATCCTTTTGGTTGCTTCTTAAATTGCGGCTCCATAATGTCAACACAATATATCTCACGTCTTAAAACACTTTGCGGAAATTAAGATAATTAAGAAACATGTAAATAGCGGTGAGTGCCATCGAACATATGGCAATCAGTGTTAACGTTTCTTCACGATGAGAGCAATTAAAGCTAGCGTATATCGTGAGCTTTCTGACTGTTGGGGTTTCAAAAGGTTTTTTGCCTTTTCTGCCTGGGTTCAGTTAGCAGCTTGCTTCAAATAGATACTTTTGTCTCTAAAGTACCATTAACAGGCCTATTCTCAGTGTTACCGGTGAAGTAAATTTTGTTACTTTTCTTTAATACCCGAATTTGAATTTGGTATTCTGGTGAACTGGTTACAATGTATGAAAAAAAGGAAAACTTTTCCATTATGGTTCCAGGCTTTGGGAAAAACGAATTATAAGGGGTGGTAGGGGGTTCTACCCTCTCTCAGAAACCGAAAACCAAACCTACCGGAGACCTTTAGTTTTCGAGATATTTACATTTAAAATAGCAAAAAAATCGAATTTTACCCTATTATTTTGTACAAAGTGTCATTACTGTGAATTTTGGTGTTGCCACATATAAAAAAGAAAATCTAAAATAAAACAACTATAGTAAAATTTTTATACTTAATATTGTTACGATTTTACTAAATCAACCTCGATTTTTTTCTAGATCCTTCGGGTACGATCTCTGGATTGTTAAATAAAAACTCGCCAATTCAATTTGCAGTATCTTTCGTTATAAAGATTTTATCTAATGTCCTTTATTTACTCCGTAATTCACAATTCAATTACAATGCACTTTTCTATTTACAATCACTAACATCAACTTTCACAATTTACTCTACTTAAATGTAATCTTCAACGCGTTTACTTTACGACTTTACTGATGTTAACGCCAACCAGTTCACTTTGTCACTAACTTACTTGGCAGCTGAGTGTCCCCTTATATAGCAGTCGTCTGCTCGCAGACGAAAGCGTAGAAGCATCGATTTGTTCGCTATCGAAGGTTCTTGTTTTATCGTTTCTAGAATGTACTAGTTATCGGCTTCGCTCTTTCATCTTTCATCTGACATCCGCCTCGCATTTTCGCAACAATATTAACTTAAGACCACTATAAAATACAACCCTGCCAGACTGAATATAGGCAATACTATTGAAGACCAAAAGGACATTTGCTATTTGAATTTCAATAAATACACATCTAATATACATTGAATAAGAAATAAGAATGTTTTATTATTCCTACAAATTATGGGCAAACTCAAAAGGTAAGAAATCTTTAGATGTGAATATTAAACGTGTTCGTAAAGCTTTTAGCAATAGTAAAATGTGTGGAAATATATTCTTTTTTACGGTTGAAGTGCAAACGAATTTGTTGGATAAATATGAACATTCATACATAGCTATAGTTTTCGGAAAACCTTAATAAGGCGAGTAATGTCGAGGCAGTAAGAGTAGTTTTTTTGAAATAATACTGTTACGATTTTGCTAAATCAACCTCGATTATTTCCTGAATCCTTCGGGTACGATCTCTGGATTGTTAAATAAAAACTCGCCAACTTCTCTCTTTCATCTGACATTCGCCTCGCCTTTTCGCAATTTAAACTAAAATACGAAAATTTGATACAAATAAGAAGTTTTGGTTATGAAAAGTAGGGCCAGCAAACGCATTTCCACGAACATGAAAATTCTTGTGAAGTGGCCGTTAGATTTCAAATTTGTAAACCCAAAGATCAGATTTAAGTTGAGCGAAAGCCGAAAATACGAAGATGTATTGCTGTATTGTATAAAGCTGTATTGTTCAACAGAAAGATAGACAGAGGGAAAAGTATAATGAAATATACAGCAAAGCAGTAAAGTAGAGCAGCTACATAAATACTGAAGGTGAAGGACAAAAATTGTCGGTGAAGAACAGAAAAATCAAAACATGAAGTAGTAATATTGATAGCCGAATAGCTATAAACCATGGTGAAATAATAAATTGTATGAATGTAAAGGAGACAACAATTGTCAGAACAGAAAAAGAAGAAAATAAAAAGAAAATTACAGTGAAAAAGAAAAACAGTGTTCGACCATAAAGAAAAAGAAAACAAAACTAGCTATAAAGCCAATAAGCTAAGCATAGACTAGAAAAGTGTTGAAAGAAGAATACTGGTGAAAATAAAAAGTATATGCAAAAATCAGCAAGTAATAAGAAGTGTGCGACAATAGTAAGACATCGTAGCAGCTGTTGCAAATGAAACTAAGCAAATACTACCATCAACAGCACCATTACTAAAAGAAGCAAGAACGAGAGGAAGCAAACATCGTTGGATAAATATGAACATACATACATAGCTATAGTTTTCGGAAAACCGTAGTAAGGCGAGTAATGTCGAGGCAGTAAGAGTAGTTTTTTTGAAATAATACTGTTACGATTTTGCTAAATCAACCTCGATTATTTCCTGAATCCTTCGGGTACGATCTCTGGATTGTTAAATAAAAACTCGCCAACTTCTCTCTTTCATCTGACATTCGCCTCGCCTTTTCGCAACACTGCCCTCCACCTAAGTCTGATCGTCTCGATCAGACACATTCACTGTTCCAAACTCAGCAAGCCTCTCAAGGTGGACCACTTTCATCTTGTTTCTTG